ATAGAGAGGAGATGAGGAGGGCGAGGAAGGGGAAGAAGAAGAGGAGGGGGAAGAGGAAGAAACTGTGCTATGGATAGGGTGTTGATGAAGACGATGAAGATGAAAATATTGTTGTTGTTGTTGATGATGTTGATGATGTTGATGATGTTGATGATGATGATGATGATGATGATGATGACGACGACGACGATTGAGATGATTGAGATGATTGAGATGATGATGATGTAGATAATGATTGAGATGATGTTGATGATGATGATGATGATGATGATGATGATGATGATGATGATGATGATGATGATGATGATGATGATGATGATGATGATGATGATGATGATGATGATGATGATACACACTTGATTGTGACCAGGAGCTTTGAGATCTCAGGCGATGGCATCGGAAATGTTCAACTTCACCGCCAGGCTGGAGCGGCTCGCGATCCTCTGGGAGCTGAACTTTGACGATGAAGAGGGTTTACAGCTGATCCGCTCGGCACTCGGGGCGGGGGAGGGAGGTGCCAACAGCTCCCTCCTGCTCTCGAGCTTCGCCTCCGAGGCCGCCATTGTGATCTCGCTGAAGCCAACGTCCATCGCTGCCCATGTCCTACTGGGCAAGCTCCAGCTGGAGGTTAGCTGATGAAAGAGGAACCCCCTGGTTTGTGCCTGCTCAGATGGTGATATGCAGGGAGTGGGGCGGGTGGAAGAGGCTGTGGAGACGTGGAGGAAGTGCTTGGTCAGGTTTCCTTACTGCCATGAGGCCAAGGCAGAGATCGGTCTCGTGCTCTGCTTGCAGTCTTTCGAGGAGGAGAAGGGGGAGGAGGAGGAGGAAGGAGAGGAAGAGAAGGAGGGGAAAGAGAGCAGAGAGTTCAGCGAGCGCTTCGGTTACCTTGGAATGAGGAGGAGGAAGGGACTGTGGAGGGAGGGAACAAAGAATCTTCGTGATGCAGAGAAACTTCAATCAGGGACAAGAAGGTGAACAGACCGATGGGATCGGTGTGCGTTTGATTGTTTCATGATGCCGGTCAAGTTCATGTGGTTGCTGTTGATAATGATCGAGATGATGATGATGATGATGATGATGATGATGATGATGATGATGATGACGATGATTATTGTGGTGGTGATGTTGATGACAATCAGGATGACAATCATAATATCGATTTGGTAGAAACCAGAACATAGAGGGAGGGATGCATTGAAAGACTGACAAACTTTCTAACAGCAAGATACTATCAGCATGGATAAGTTTGCATGAGGGCGATGTTGAAAAGGCAGAAGAATCCCTAGAAGAGGTCTGTTTCTTCGCACATAATATCTCATTCATGACAAACATCCCACCTGGCTCTTGCCATCTCATTACAGACGCTGCTCACGATGTTTGTGCTGTTCCTGAGACTTGCGCGCAGGCTGGAAAGGTTGCAGATATCTCGCTGAATGACGAATGTGAGGCTTGAGGAGAAGCAGAGGAAGTGAAGGGGCGGAGTCGGTTCAAGGGGAGGGGCGGTTGGGAACAGGTGGAAGAGAAGGAGAAGCTGGATGAAGGGGACGAGTGAAGAGGAGGGTGAGGGGAGAGGAGAGGAGAGGAGAGGAGAGGAGAGGAGAGGAGAGGAGAGGAGAGGAGAGGAGAGGAGAGGAGAGGAGAGGAGAGGAGAGGAGAGGAGAGGAGAGGAGAGGAGAGGAGAGGAGAGGAAGGAGAGGAGAGGAGAGGAAA